AAATTATCAAGAACCTGTAGTTCATGTCTCGCGCAGTAATATGCCAAAGGTTATTTCTTTGAGAAATAGTCCAAAATGTTTAAGTCAAATGTAAGATATAATTAAATTTTCAAACAATCCATTTGATTCAAAGTTTATCAGTACAATGCTTGCAAATAAGTAAGAGGTATATATTTATATATTCCATCCTCTTCATTATATTTTAATATGTATTGATGAGGTGTCTGATAAAGCTGAGACTGACTGATAAAGGTTAAGTTATAAGGCTTGCACTTTTATCAAGAGATATCAATGTAATAACATGATAAAAGTGATGATACACAAGCTAAACATTCATCTTGATATAAATAAGTACAAGTATTTCTGTACTCTATGTTTTGTTTTGCTCTTACAGTTACTGAAATTGAAACCTTAGCAGACATATGCCTCACAATTCAATTCTTTTCCTTTTTTCAATGGCAAATTGTTATGTATCTTCAATTGTCACATATTATAAATGTACCTTCTCTCATGCAGACGGTCTGCAAATAGATATTTATCTGTGTGTTTTATGTCGATATGCACAGACAGTGATACGCTCGTACTGATTCTTACTTTACTAAAGCCATACAAATCTTGCCTCCTGCAAATTTATCTAGACAGACACGACCGTATGCTAAACTTTCACTGGACAAGAGAGAGGAAAGAAATAAAAAAGTGATTGCCGTTACTAGTCGTCTTATTTTCATATTACTCGCCGTTTTACTCGTCGTATATTACTCGTCTTTATTTTTCATTTTTCTCTACATTATTATTTTTAAGGTAGAACGCGACACTTTGCGAACCTACGAGTAGCGTCTTGAAAATTGGCATGCAAAAAGTTGATCATATTTCTGATTGGATTCCGTTAATTTTATTTCAAAAGTTTCAGCCAATTTTTTTCAACACGAAGACAAAGTTGACCATCAAAGCCCGTTTTTTAACATGACGTCGTTGCGTATCCTTGGCAACTTTTATCGATATCACAACGTCATAGGCGGACAAATATCTTAAATCCTACAGCATTCGACGGAAATTATTTTTTCCTCTAAGCTGATATAAAATTTAGCGTTTTACGCCGAAAAATGTTTGAAAAATGGAAAGAATACTGTCAATTTTGAGTAAAATTTGACTTTAAGTTTAGCCGCATTTTTCGGCTTTAAAGGGGCTTTTTTAAATATTCCTGAAATATTTTTTTTCTTTAAACGTCTTTTAATTTGTATACTCAGTCAAAATAACTAAAATAATTAGGAGGTCGCCGACTCAAATTATTCGGTACACGTGATTTTTTTTGTTTCACTCCGTAAATAAGATTACACACTAATTAAGTAATTGCGGTTAAGTAATAGAAAAAAAACAAATATAAGTCTATTCTGTCATACCCTTTCTTCTTCATTTACACCATGAGTAGCCGTTCAAATTTGTGCATCAATAAATGGTTGTACAATAACAACAACTTTTTTTACAGAAATGACCTTATAACATATAACATGAACGCGTCATTTTATCTTGTCCGAAAATGATGGTTTTGCATTTTGGAAGAATATTATTGGTGAAAAATATCTTGCAACAACCAAGACAGGGGTAACTAGTATCGTTTGGCGTTTATTGAAAACGTTCTTTGATCTTGACATAATGTAAACATATTACGTAAAACATAATAACGGTAAATATGAAGAAAAAATATTAGATAAATAAAAGTGTTATTGCAAAATGGCAACCTTCGTAATAAATATCTAATTTCTTAAATTTTATCATAGGTCTTTTGAATATTTTACCGATAACGCACTGTGAACATGTGTTTTCCCATTCAGATCAGTTCTTGACCGTATGGTCTACGGGCTATATCTGAAGCGATCGCACGTAGTTAATAGTAAAGGCGTCTTGGCAGTCCTTTGGCGTATATGAGGGGCCCGAAATGACCAAAGAAAATCCTATTTTTATGCCTTTTATCCCTGTGTAATTCACGGGATGTCAAGCTGGAATTAGTGTGAGAAATTGTGAATAGTTTAAAACATACATTACAAGTTAAACATCTCAAATGTGATCGTTCATGTATCAGAATTTGCAATTCTACTAAAATCTCATGTTTGAAAAGTATAAATTTTATGTATTATGTATATTGTTCTGGAAACAAACTAGAATATCAATTTTGCAAATACCGCTGTAAATACGTCTAACACACATAGTTTGAAAGTTAAGTTCAATATTATAAAAGAGGGAGAGAAAGAGACAGCAATGTTCCAGGAATGAAGCCCATTAAACCATCCTGTCACACAGTCACCACAATGACAATACATAAGGGGGAATAAAATTATATTCATAAAGTTCATATGTTTATGTTGTATGTAGTAATATATCACACAAAGGGGATTTCTATCACTCAGTATGTTATACTTATATTCCATTATAATCCTCTCAAGATTGTGTGTAAAAGGTGTCTAATTCTTTATTGCCTGCTACGGTATTTGACGTTGTAGGAAAATTTTTCAAGCACTGGTGAATGCATTGTTTGATTTGTGTTATGCCATGTAAAGTCAACATTTATACTGCAAGTTAAGTCTCTCTGAAGATACAAAACAAGATGTTATAGTAGCATTTAATAATAACACTTCCAGATACCTTGATTACTTTTTTATTTAGATAGTTCTTATTTTGATCAAATAGTGTCTGATATATATCCTTATGAACAACAACTTAATAAATCGAACTCTTGACATTTAAGTAAATCGTTTTTGGATCTTCATATTACTGTCAACAACAATTCTATTCACACAAAAATATATGAAAAAGAGATGACTTTAATTTTTGTATAATTAAATATCCACATTTAGATGGAGTCGAGGCCAAGGGAATATGTTTTTCAGTTAATTAGATTCGCTAGAGCTTGTAGCAACGTAAAGGATTTTAACAAAATTTTACAATCGTAATTTTGGTTTTTTTTTCAAAATTAAATAATGATTTGAAAACACTTCTGCAACAAGGGATTAGCCACCCTTTTATTGGCGATGTGATTTACAAACTTAGTAAGATTTTAGGTCATTTTTCTGCTGTTTTTTATCAAATCATTTAACGTTTTATTGAAAGATGTTTTGACCCTATTGTATGAAGACATACTGCATGCTTAGTGTTCAAACCTTTTACAGTTGGACATTACGTTTTCCTCTTTTGATTACATCTGACGGACCATGTATGGTACTCTATGGTAGACAGTTCTTAAAGCCCTTTGGAACTGAATTGTCTTAATGTTTGTCTTCTGTCTTGGTTCGTCGTGCCCTTGTAGGTAATTGTCTTGCTTTAAACATTTGTACCTTTGTTATGGGCATTGAGTTTACTTGTATATGTATCAACATGATCATTTCTGTGTTTTACTTATTTCACCCTTTGTAACCATAAAAGGTTGTAAAACCATATAAAGTATTAATCAAAAGAACAATCAGCATTACTTGACATATCCTTTGGTCAACACTAGCTACTAAATACACTTTAACCCTTGTGTTGAAATTAACATAAGTAAAAAAGAAACATTCCAATTAGGCCCCAAGATTTTATCCAATATCGAGTTTTAAACATTCAAATTTGAAACAGTTAACAGTCGGATTTGGTATAATTTGGATCCATACATAAACTTATTATTACTAACACTAAAGAAAATTTTTAAGTTACCGCTTTTATCAATGTCGGACGTCAGGTATACTTTCAGAAAAATCCACCGTTTCAAACCATAACCGTACTTATTATACAATGATGTATTGTTAGCAACATGCGCAAAAAATTAAGCAAAACCCAGGTCTTAATTTCATACAAAAAGTTATCCTACGTTTGCCATCCTTGTTCAAATATTATCCTAATTTCTATGTAGTAATATGCCATACAAATTGAAAGCTAGATCGAGCGTCAATCAAAAGCAGCGTTAGGAGAGGAGAGGGTCCTACAACCGCTTGGGGCTCCGTTTTTTTGGCTAATGTTCTACATTGAACTAGGGAATTTTTAAATTGCGGTTTGTTGGAAGTTTTTTATTTCATTATTTTTTTGTCTTTTCGAAAGTCTGAAAAATTGTATACTGTAATTAAATCTTTTGAAAATGTCGTATTTAATGATCAAATGCAAAGGGTTATGAAATAAGTATTATGATGTTTTGGGTTTAATGAAATTGCAAAAAAAACCCTTTACCCCATAAAAAGAAAAATTTAATTTTTTAAAAAAAATCCCAAAATACCGGAATTTTAATGATTTTTTGTTTTTTTTTGGTTACTGGGGGTTTTAAGGTTTTACAATGCCCAACTTTTATTTGGACAAAACCGCGTTTTGACACCATATTGTTTTTAAAAACATTTTAAAAGCCCATGGAAAAAAAACAAAAGCCCATTTTTTGGACAGGGGAACAAATTCATTGAAAAGGTTTTAAATGGGTTTTGTTTTGTTTTTTCCTTCAGATGGAAATTCATCTTACCTTATTTTGAAGAATGTTAAAAATAACTTTTTGTAACGACAGATCTAACTTTTCCGGATTGTTCAATGAATTTCTTAGTCAAAATGCCAACTTACTTTCGTTATTATTTTTTAAACGGCCCCCTTTGTAAATACAGGATAAAACGCCCATGGGCTTCTTTTTTTGAAATGTTGACTAAAGTTTTTTTTTAGAAAAAATTGGGGATTAATTTGTTACTAAAGTTTGTAAAGACTAACAACTTTAAACTTCTCCTGGTTTGGAAACATAATTTGGGTTTATTAAAAAAAAAATTCTCAAGGGCTGTTTTTAAAACACAGGATTAAAATTGTTTATAGAATTTTCTTTTGTGGTTTTGGGAAAATTAAGTGAATTACGCTGTTAATTTGACTAAAAAGTAAATGTTTTTTAGCTTGATCGATATCCTAGATGGTATTTGGGAAGAGAAAACTTGTTTTCGACATGGATAAAAGCAAATGCTTTCCTGCTTCAGCATAGAGACTTTCTACTGCTGATGTTCGAAGCAATGATACAAATACAATTTAAACTTTTAAGTATAAATCTTACCCTATCCATCCTATGAAGGAATCAACGTGTTCATATTTAAACAAAAATCAAAAAAGATAGTGTATATTTCTAAAAAAATTTCTTCAACTTCATAAAATATTGTATTTGTCCAAAATGTAATAGACTGCACAAGTATTTTGCTAAAAGACTGCTTGTTTCCAAAATTTGGAAAAATATGTCTAATTAAAAACACTTGTTCGACACAAGTACGTTTTTAAAAGCGGCAGTAAACAAGCATTGAAAACACACAAAAGTTTATGTTGGATTCTCAAAATTAAACCTCTCTTTAAACTTTTGATTTCACCATATATTTCATATTATTTTTGTTGGAATTTTAAAACAAGAAAACAAAATACTACAAAGGGCCAAACTGAATGTATAACACATTTGACATCTACATTCCTATATCTCCTAGTGAAACAATGGATCGGAAATAAACAAAGACAATTCTAAAGGACAACGGATAAGCTGTGCATGCGTGCGTGTATGCAATTTTGTAATAATCCAATCATTAATTTAGAGACGCAACACTTCAATAACTCAACAAACAAACTTATCTATTAAACCGAATCGGTTAAGTTTCAATTCCTTTGATTTTTTTGCACACTCACCAAAGCTGACATTTGTAACTGTAATGTGAAGTCGCTGTAATGCCTCGTCCGCGTTCAGTCTCACTGTGGTTTTATAATATTTAAGTTTGAAATCAGTGTTCGATAAACAAATGAAAATGTTGACATTAATTTTATATTTATTCATAACCATTGCGCTATTTCCTACTTTTTAATATCAAGTTAGTTATCTCTCTAAATCAATTTTTAAAACTCGGATAAGAAATATTATTGCCGCCAATAATAAAAAAAATCATTTGAATTTCTTATGAATCGTCTTTTAAGTCAGCTGTTACTTAGGCTATAACTTGACCTAAGCTGTCGTCGTTTCGTCAATGTATAGGTGTCAATATGACCACTTTTTGCGGTGTCAAGTTGAACTATATATTTCAACAGATTGACAATAATAATGGTGACTGACCAATACTTGATTATAGAAATAGTTAGAATTAAATATGAAATCATTTACACTTGGTTAAACTGCGTTGAATAAATTTTTAATTCAATCATTCTTAATTAATGGCTTTAAAGACTAATACTCAGCATACGTGTACAATAACCTGGCTATAGCACGTTATTGCAGGTCATTCTTGAAGGCTATTAGGCTCTTCATCTGTTTTGCTTGTGACAGTAAATTTTGTATCATGGACTTGTGCTCTTGTCAATTGATAACACTAGAAGATTTTTAAAATTCGTCTTTGTGCAAGGTTTTCCTTATGTTATTTTATTTGTTATACTCTCACTCGAAGGATAAGGTTTATACTAGAACAGTATTAGAAGCACGTCTTTTTATTCCTCGTCCGCTTTGCTTATTTCCATGTACTCCTGAAATAATAATTTTATGCAATTTTCTAAAATTATTCACTTTAATTTGAATCATCGTTTAAATTTGTAATTTCATTTAAAAATAAACATGAACTTATGAAAGTGACAAATACCTCTGCTTTCAGCTAGATTTCCTAATACAAGAACCGCCACAAGCAGAAGCCACACTTTTACCAATTACAAAACCAAAGTAAAGGCTTTTATAAGGTATTTAATAGGTCAATATCATAGCTCAATAACTCGGTTTAAAGTTTGGTCAAAGTATAAACCAAATGATCAATAAATTCCAATGTCATCACAAATTTTATTTATTAAAATCATGTAAGTCAATGCAAGTTAAGATCTTAGTCATTTCTGACAAAGAAGTGTGGTTTCATCCAACATGTTGCTGTGTCTGAATATCAATAAATCTGTCCATAAATTACAAGATTCTACAGCATTTATTGTTTCTTATGGTTATCTTAAAATCCAGGCCATATTTGAATTTCCTCACATGGCGGCTATAAACCTTTTACCCCATGAGCATATTGTAAAAAATGGCCGTTTTCATTGAAAAGCCTCCTGTTACAAGTTCAAACTGCTATGTAACTATGAAAAATGTTTCAATACTGATGAAACTTGGCACAAAGACCAAGTTGGACTAGACCATCCCCTCTGTAAGAGCATGCTCAATCGTAAATTTCCTGTTACCAAGGCATCGGGGGACGTCTCAAATTTGCAAAAAATCACTATTTTGCATTGTTTTTTCTCTCAAATCTTATTTCAAAGTGCTGCAACTTATCAATGAATTGAGATAGAAAAGGCTTTTCAGCGTCAGTTACTAGTTACCATAAGAACGATATGAGGCCATTTTTAACCTCTCACATGTCCAAAATTTTCTTGACGATGAGGGGGACTACCGCTCCCAATCAAACCCCCAAACAGAAGGGGGCACATCCCCCTTCTGGCAAACTCCCTGATGTACCATTTTGATGGGGGGTGGCGCCGATAAAGTGATCACTCTTTTTAACAACAATTCTCAAACGAAAAAAAGTGTTTGGGGCCTAAATAGGGCATTTTTTCACTGTTTGAGGCCTCAAAAAGAGGGGCTCAAAAAGCCTTCAAAACACGTCTATATGACGGAAAATGTTAAACAAGCAAAATTCAATAACTTGACAGTGACAATCAATGTCATTATAACCTCAAGGGTATCGTTGAGTTTCTTAGCATAATGGTTTTATGCTATAGTAAGTTTTAATTTTACCAAGTATGAATAAAATTGTCCATAAATAAAAGACTTATCCGGTTATATTTTTCTAAATTTGAAAAATTTTCAACGACTATATCAATAGATATTTTATCCATGCTTTATTCTAAGCACTGAAAATCAGTGACATGTTGAGGGGAGAACTAAATTTGCCAGCTTAGTGAATTTTAATGATTTTTATCAACAAGCAATAGTGGGATAATACAGAAATGACTCGCCTTCTGTGCAACTGTTTGAATCAATTTATCAAATGTTTCCAGTAAGGTTTCAAATCCTGGTCTATTCTCCGGCAGAAAGCTCCAACATTGTTCCATTATACTGTATCTGAAAAATAATATGTAAAACCTTACAAAGGTCTACACATGTTTGACATTACGTATTAGTTTCCAATTTTAGATAAAATTACATGAAAACTCTGGAAAGAGAGTGATCCCTCGGAAGCATTAATCACAACAAAATTACAAGAGAATTGCAGACTCGGTTTGATTGAGTCTGTACATGAGGGATAATGAATACGTGCAACATCCCTCACGCCCCCTAGCACCAGCTTGAGCGGTACTTAATTCTCAACACTTAATAGTGCTGGCATCGATGATCCCGAAGGACCAGAAAATATAACAACACTGAAGTGAAGTACGGGGCAACATTTTACAGCTGCCACACGGCACTTGACACCTGCTGTTCTAAAGTTCAAAAGTCACAAGAGCAGTTCAACCTTTGATGAATACGTTTGATTAATCTGATTAGCGTTCGCCACAGCGCCCGCCAGTCCCTTATAGAAAATGTTGCATTATTAAAAGGGTGTAGTTTAGGGTGACAAATATGCTGCATAAAAGTAATTTCATGTTGGTTCATTCTATTAGGTTCTATCCCGAAGGAGATTTAGCAGAGTATTTCAATTGATTCATATGGATATTTGTAAGTGAAAAGAATTATTAGATTAAAAATTAAAAACGAAAAGTTCCTGAACAAAAAAATAATACCTCTCAATTTAACGGTCAGTAACATAGATAAAATCGTAAATGCACTCCTAGCTTTCTTAGAAATATTTACACCTCATTATTGATATATAAGTACATTTTGTTATTATTCTAAAAACAAATACATGATTATGCTGCCGATTACAGACAGTTTTTGAAAGCTTTACAAAGTATTGATCATATTTTGAAAACCACGAATAGAGATAACAAATTATTCCTTTATGTAATAATTTTCTTACATATAATCAGGGCAAAGTGGTGGTGGGGGCATGATGTAGTTATTCCTGTACATATCAAGTAGCAAATCCGGTGGTATTCCAGGGTAAGGACCGGCTCCTAGAGTAACAATTTCCCATAATAAAATACCAAACGACCAAATATCACTTTTACAGGTGTATCTACCGCTGGATAACGATTCGGGACTCATCCATTTATACGGCATTCTTCCCTAAAAAAAGTTGTTCATATAAAGATATTTCGCAATTTTCATGTAACTTTAAATAAATTACACTGTATTGTTTGAATCTATTGTAGGCACAAACTAACTACGATTTAAGTTTATTTATTGATGAAAACAATTCTTATTGTTTCAAACTAAGTATTTCAGTAATTTTATCTTGGAATAGTGCATCCGATCACTGTCAAGCATTCTTCAAAACAACATCCCGAGAGCTATTTATTTAAAAAAAAATAAAAGATCGGGAGACGAATCGTCAGCATTATTAATTTAAATATAGACAGCAGACCGATAGATTAGATGTATCGAGGGGTTACCTTATTGTTTATGTATTTCATCGTCGGCAAATTTCATTTTCATCTTAATTCTTTTAATTTCACAATTATATTAAACGATTTACATGTAAGCTTTAGAAAAAACTGAAGGTCGCTTTTAGCCTCAAGTAAAGATATCTCATCCATTTGCTTTTGAATTTACCCTTTATTCACAATGTGAAAAACAAAACACTTTAATTTCACTTTGATATAACACTTTCATTCTAGTTCACTGGACTTACAAATGAAATCCAAAAAAAATTCTAATCTTATATACGAAGTGCTGTCTTTTATATAAGTATATATTCATTTGTCTTAAGTAAAAATTCTGATACACGATTCACCTTGTATTTAAATATTACCATCATCAGAAAAGGGTCTAAGTTAATCTTCCCGCAATAAGCAATTTAAATGTACTGATTTAGGAACTTAACTTTTACACGTTGCTGAGACAAGCTATATTGGTTAATAAAACGGTTATCAAAATTATTTATAGGGAACAATCAATTACATTTCATACAAATTAAATGATTAAATTTTCGTAACATTAATTATCATTTGCTACCTGACGATTAAAGAAGACATCATTTTGAATGTATGGCAAATAATAACGGTTGTATGTTATTCTTTTTGTACTCGATCCATAACATTTGCAATGCAGAACAATATTTAGGCTTCGGAATAAAACGTCGATCTTGGAGTAGTATCAATATCTTATAAGGCAAGGATTGGATTAAGCCTAGTATCATATGTAACTAATTATTTGCAAGTGAATATAATTGATTATATATGTTAAAATAAAACAATGTGTAAGCTTTAATGTGAAATAAATACTTACGTTTGAATTTTGATAATAGTAACCATTCTCATAAACATCTCGTGACAAACCAAAGTCTGATATCTTCGCTACATAATCAGATGATAGAAGAATATTTCTTCCGGCAAGGTCTCGATGAACAATCTGAAGACATTAATCATTCATAAAGAGGAATGGAATTTAAGGCAGAACAAAGCATTAGATGACAATGACAATATTTCGGCCTTGTTTTATACTTTACAAATTTACAAAGAATAGTATGTGCATATCAATTGATATATCGATCATTTGCATTCAACAACTTTATAAAGATATGGTTATAACATTTATAATTATAGACAGTTTGCATGTAATGTTTTCATTTTTCCATAAGTATGATATACATATCAAGAATATAATTGATACAGAGCTATTACATCATTGCCACTTCAGTTTTAGTAATAATAAATATAAAGATAGAAATCCAACCATCATGAAAGTTAAGGTTTGTGATCATGAATGATTTATGAAATTATGATTAAACATGAAGGCTGAACAAGCATGTTTTATTTCAGTTATATGTCACATTAAATGTTTTCAAAATTCCATCGCAAAATTTGTTACCTTTAATCTCGAAAGAAACTCCATACCCTTTGCTATGTTCCACATATAAAGAAACAAACGGGGCTGTGTGTTCTGTAAATATGCCTTCCACTCAGAAGAGTCGAGGTTCTGTATAACTTTAGAATTTATCTGATCTAACCATTTAAGATGAGCGAGTAAGTCGCCGTTGTCTGCAAACTCTAAAACCATTATCAAAGATCCTGCAATGTTAAAGTCTTGTGTTAATTTTACATAATAATATTCATAAATATTATTGTAATTCGGGTGGCCTAGAGTTTCATACGTATAAAAATATTCAACTGCTGCTTATGGTTAACAAAGTTATTGTTTGAATTTTTGATTTTGAAAAAGAATATTTCCAATAGAAATGTATGTAAGAAATCAATCTGTATATTTTCTATAGAGCAAATTTAGCATCTACAAAATCATTGATAATCATTGCTAAACGATAAAAACCTGTCTTAAAATAGAAACATAGCATTTTGTCCTGATCTTGTTATTCAGTTTACTTGATTATCCATTAACGGGGACATTAAATGTAACAACTCATTTGAGCAAACAAAACTGTTAGACCAAAACGTTATGAAATCAAGGTATTTTTTGCTTTTTATACATTTTATACACATATTTCATTACATAAATCCTTGAAGAATAAAAAGTGGTGTATAAGAGTAAAAGCAGTAAGTATGTAAACGTATGTTACATACCATCTATTTCTCCTGTTCCAAAAACCTGTATAATATTTGGATGTTTTCCTATGCTACTTAAAGTTCTATATTCTGTTGAAAACGTTTCTGTGTCTTCTGTCTTTGCATTTTCTTAGTGATATAAAAAGAAGCTTATTTAGAATATATCAATATTGAAAATGGAAGCGGGCAAATATGATAGGGAAACTATACAGTTTATAAGCTGTTACTAGACGACGATTGCGGGAATATGCACACATCGTATGGTGAAGCACATTTTAATATGAACTTGATATATTAGATAAAATACTTAAAGTTATAGCAGGGAAAAGTACTAGTTTAGACAAGACTAGATTCAATAGAAAATGTTTATAATGTAGCAAAATTACCATGTGATAATTATTTTTGACAAAATTAAATATGATTTCGTGCCTACTTGACTCAACCTTTTCCAGAACAAACAACAAACAATCGTTATGATATGAGAAATTCGATAAAAGCGGTAAATCAGCAAGAAATACGTTATACAATAATTTCCCTCATTTTTCCGACTGCATGACGTTAATAGAACAACGTGATTTTGGCTTTTATCTAAATTTAACGAATCTTATTTCAGCTTCTATGTTGTTCATGTTTACTTTCGTGCGTTTTCCCCGCTGACAAAGGGACATCGTTCTATTTATCTGAGATTGTATTTTACAGTTTTAGTTTGTTTTCAAATGTCTTATCGGTGTGTCGTAAACATGTTAGTTTCAGGTAGTGAACACGTATTGCCTGTACCGTACTTGTGTTATCATAATAATATGTCGCAGCCTATGTTTTAATTGAAAAATTAATTTGTGTCAACTAAGAAAAGACAATAAATATTATTAAATAATTTTTTTTTATTATTGAGTGTTGTTAAAATAAGTCTTTGAAAAAAGCTTCGAATGTTTGTCGTTCATATAAATTAAAATAAGACAAAACAGAAACTTAAAGCATACATTCAGTACCTCTTATCTTTTTTACAGCAACTTTCTTCCATTTAGAGTCAGCATCCGCTACAAATCCATCAAATACATTACCAAAAGCCCCTCTACCGATAAGTTTACCGAGACGAAGTTTTCCACATAACTTTTTTTAAAGATAAATACAAATGTCTTTTATAAAAGTGTATATTAAACACTACTATAATTTACCATATAGAGTATTTACAGAGTTAAAAAAAAGTCAAATTGTTGCAAAGATGTAGGCTGAACATCAAAACTTGTATGGGTGTATCTTACTTTAATGTCTTTACATCAGAATGAACAGTACTTAACGTGTCTATTCAAAATTTATAAAATATCTAAGATATGGAAAAAAACAGTCTATATATCAGCTTTATTGTCATATAAATCTATTGTGTAGAAATGCAACACTAAAAGCGACCTCTTAGTCACATTTTTCCGTATTACATTCAAATTTGTTAGTGACATATATATTAACGGAGGTGTTGATTAAGTCAATATATTTGGCTTTCTAGGTAAATGATAAAATATAGGAGATTATTATTTGAAAGAATTTTTTTTAAAATATAAAGGAATTATATAACCTTGATCTCATTGTCATTTGGTCCAATAATATTTTGTAAAGTACTCGAAGAAATGCTAACTTCGGCAGTGTCTGCAACAGATCTTGGTCTGTAATACTGACCATTCAATATCATCTGAAATTGATCAGGTACAAAATTTATACAAAAATGTTAGATTTAAAAAATAATTAGAATAATTAAATGCTTAACGAATTTTACTTTGAGATAACGATAGCATTTTAGCATATTAGATACCGATTTTATATTGTTTTCTTTGAATTTTGAGTAACCAAAAATATGTATTCATTTAGCATATTAGCTGAAGTTGAAATTCCTTACTCAATAATGTTACATTTTAGTATACAAAATGATAGGAATTCGATATATGTCTGACTGTAAAGTCACGTGTCCTGATTGGTTCTATATGCACCAAAGAGAAAGAAGCAGTCACAAAAAATAAAACGTGGTGAAGTGAAGTGTATCCTGTTTCATAATTTTGATGTACGCCCTCATTTGTTCTCAAGCAAATAGAAACATAATCATTTAAAAACATACTTGTATTGGTTTCTTCAGTTTTTTTAGTTCTGTTCTTGCAGAAGTACAGTAAAACACCGATGATGAATCCAAACAGAACCAGTAAAGCTGGCAAAATTATAGCTACAAAATCTATACCAAATAATGCCTGAAATAAAATAACCAGATAATACAGTTTCTTATAGTTTCTTATATGAAATTTTACCATCATTATTGTCTATTTACTCGTGTGATCCATACAAAAAATAAGAGTATATATTATAAGTTACAACATTCTTCTCTTGTAGACCATACGGATGGTTATCAAAGCACGGGTTTAAAAATTATATTGCATTATGTCTAAGATCTCTAAATCATATACGTATATCTTCACATTTATCTAATATAGAGAAATGTCTGAAATTAATTTGAAAGGCATAATATTTTATTTAAATCAAGTATTCTTATATCTACTATACAATGCTTTGTGCGAACACCTTACATTATTTTAAAATCAATGTAGTACAGTCATACCTTCTATCTTAACTTTATCCTGAACACATTCAATGTCATTCACGTTAAATTCATTCATGCCAATATTTTCTGGTGTTGTGCAATTCAGATTTTCTGAAAACGATCCCTTCTGACTGAATGATATTAACCAAATAAGATCACAATCGCAATGCCATGGATTACCCCCTAACCACCTATATGAAACAATATAAATGTATTCAATATATTAAACATATCACTGCCAAGATTGTCGAATATAGCTCAATTATGTCAAGTTATTTAAATTCAATATATAAATCACTATTTGTGTTGTTGAAAATGCCTATATTGATGAAAATGCAAAAAGCTTTATATTGTAGCGTTTAGAAACATTTTGCATTACATTTTGATAAATTTAGAATTATAATTTTTTGTTTAATCAGAAAAAGAACTATTGATATTCCTCTTCAGTGTTCGTATTCCATTACCAATTTTATGTTATTTAATAATAATTATTTTATTGAATTGGTTACATTATCATGTTGATTTATTTCAATAATGGCCAATAATGGTTGGCTTTTATGTATTTTCTGATTAAAAAGTTGAAAGTAAAAAAATCAGAAATCAACAGAAACTGTTGACATTCTAAAATGATGTTTTATACAATAAAGAGGGCAAACGCAAAAAGAAGGTAGATACCAGACAAAATTTGGATACTTTAATAACGTGTACATAGGCATTTTCCAGACAGACTTATGGATAAGTGCCATTGTTAGATCAAATGTGTATTGGGAGTTAAACCAAATAAAACACAATAAAGCACAATATATTTAATTCCAAGATTACATCAGACAAATTAAGGCCACAATGAAATTTAGAACGACGGTTATATTATAATAAAAAGGGAAATCTTACATATGGAACGTTCTGTTGTTCTTCAGCAGACTCGATATTTGCCCTGGTAAAGTTGTCAGCTGGTTTCCACATATATGTCTTGACAGACAAAATAAATCAAATAAGAAACACCAAACACTTTTAACTTTTGGAAACAAAATACCAAGATAGAGAAAATATTTCAAAGAAAATGAAAAAGTTCAGTAATCAATATAAGTATGAAGAACAAGGAAAACAATTTAAAAATCATTTCAGAAGATACAATCTATGTTAAAAGTTCGCTTTGGCATTTAAAAACTTCCAGACAGATTGGGATAAACTCACACCTTTGAAAACAGATTTATGAACATTATGATACACTTTTGCTATCTACTAGGTCTAAAGAAAAAGAATTTGAAATTATAATTCTAATAAAAGTTCAACCAGATGTTCGATGGATTTTTTTGGCATGTATTTTATTCAATTCAAGTTCAAAACTATCATTTTTCCATAATTTTATACAAACCTGTAATCGAACGTTCATTGACAAACTTTCTATATTAACAAATTAAACACATTTTATGTTCCTATGTTTGTTGCTGTTGTTTAGCTGATATCGCAAATAAAAGTTCAGTTATATTATTATTCTCGTAGAACGTTAATAAAGTTTGGTTATCACTTAACTTACTTTTGTTGAAATATTTTGACACATTTTTAGCATTACATCAAAATCAGTATAGATATAGAAAAATAGATTTAAATTTTTTTAAAACCGTGCAAAATGTATCGGGTTCATTAAAATTATGTGAATAAAAGAACAAATTTTAAAGTCTCCCTTTTTAAATTTAAAATTAGAAAGTTTTTTATTTTTTGAGAAATGTTTTTGAAAAATGGTTTTTTAAAAAAGGTGGAAAAGGAAAAATTTTCTCGAGAAGTATAAAAAAACCCAAAAACGAAAATTTGAAAATTTTAAAAAGAAAAAGGTTTGGTCTGGCCATTTAATTACAGTTCCCCTTTGGTTTAAAGCAAAAACAGATAACTTCTGGCTTACACTCTTCAATCTGTTGTGTCTAATATCGCTATATATATAAATAAGAAAAATAATAGTCATTTTGTTCTATGGTGTTAATTTAAAAATATAAAGCAAATATAAAACTAACTAAACATAATGTGACCGACTAAAGATAAAACATTATTTAGCTCATATTGGTCGAAAATTTAGATATACATGTAGATAACGATTTTAATTCACTTTTACAGATGATTACAACCATAAATCATGGTATATAGAAAGTTATATGAAGATCTATGAAAGTACATGAATACATCTTATTTGTATAATGTGTATGTAAAAAACGAGTGTTTATAGATAAATAACTAAAATAAACCATTTTATTCTACTTGCTGTTTGTAATATACAGCAGACAAAGGTTATGTAAGGTGCTGATAGAAACAGATATACACGCTGATATAAAAGTACAAAAGCAGACGACACCTGTTTTGATTTCATAGAAAATATCAGAAAATATTTGTTAAATGTAAATACATTATTTAATTTAGTTTGAATGAGATAGCGGAAATATCGAACTCACAGACTGTAGATGTGTGGAAAATGCTCAATTTTGGAGGAAATCATGGTGATGTTGTTGTATGCAAGATGCCTAAAATATAAAATTTAAAGCAATGCAACCCTACTTAAGTACTTAATTAATGGAGTGATATTACATGATTTGTTTATGTTTGATAAGTACTTTATAAGATCTTTGTTTCATTTCGAACATTTTGTCCAATATACCTGATTTTTATATTTCTAGTAACTGGCGCAAATATTTATTCCAACTAATTCATTGAAAGAAACTTTTTTGTAACGTTTAACTGTATGTAGAAACATAACAATTGGAATTGACAGTATGTGTGTTTATATTTACCAATATTTTATAGGAGAATTTCTGAAGGCTTTATAAGGAACGTCCCCGGAGGTTATTGTGATCAAAGTATCTGTAAAACATAAGTAAATACATGACATCAAATTATATTGAAATTTGTGGAACTGAAAGACAATAATTTAAATATTTATAATTAAATATAGACAAGATCATTGAATGAGAATATTAATGATTTTACTGAAAATGATAAAAAGAGTAACAGATTTTATTTTATACTTACAAAACATCAAGTTTGGGTAACTTTATAAAAGCATTTGAAAGATATGAAGATTAATCCATTGCTCTCAAGAGAACTGAAAATAAAATGTAATGGCTAATAGCAACGTAGACTTATCATTCTTCATGGGAAATTTCTGTGATATTCGCTTGTTTACGGTCCCATCAGAAATGTATACGGACGATTTTTCGATAAGTCTGTTCGTATCAAGAAAATTACTCTTAAATCAATATTTCATATTTTTCTCAATATTTCATTATTCAGTTATATTTATATTGATTGATTGATTGATTGATTAATATAGAACACTCAACTATCGTACATATAGGTCAAAGTCTTGATGAAAAAGAAAGGAAAAATTAAGCGTTTGAAACATTTTTTATGACTCAAAATCGGTATTTTCGATCCTTGTCCTTCGGCACGACATCTTGTTGTGAGTGCATGTCTTTTTTTGGTATTTTGAGTTCTATCCATGTTGGGGTTTTTTTCTAGACGGATGGTTCCAGTATTCCTCAGCTGTATACTATTTATTCAAAAAGGAACGACTTTCACATCCGGTTCCGTTGATGGCGGACGTATTGAAAAATAACGGTGTGAAAATTCATGAAAATGGATATTTTCTAGTGTTTTAAAGCTAATAGGGAGGAAAAATCTGTAATGAATTAAAAGTCGCTACTTGGAACTGTCATAATTGTAAAGCTGTAAATGAAAGTATATGTTTTTGGACGAAATGTAAGGTGTTTTTTCTGTATCGATTTCTTTGTTTACGAATTGTTGTATTGGAAAAATTTGTTACTAGTTTGTATTACGTACCTGGGGTCAAAAAGTGGTAGTTCACTCATCTACGCTCGACGAATTTTTCACCTATACTGCACAGAATTAAAAGCGGATCATATATACTGTGTTTCATTGTGATTCTTGTGTATGATGTGTTCAACATCAACGCCAATTGTTTATGGTTGCAATAAACGTAACTTATCTGATCTGTCTTCACCTGAGGATTGCAACGATTTAAAGAAGAACCGATTTGACATCTCAACAAGTGACAACTCTGTGACATTTAATTATACAATCGATTCAATTAAATCAATGGCTTCTCCACAAAGTGAAAAGCTAAAGGTAGCCTCAGTGGATATTGACGCCATTTCTGCTATCGTAAAAGAATCCATTACTGTTAATATGGAATCTGTTATAAAAGGCATGGTCGAGTCCATTACAAACGGCATTGTTTCTAATCTGTCTGGTCGAATTGAGCATCTTGAAGCAAGTAATAAAGCTCTTTGTTCTGAAAATAACATTCTGTCTGAGCGTGTTAAATAGTTAGAAATTCAATTGGACGCTTCAGAGCAATACAGCAGACGCAATAATTTACGCATCTCTGGCGTACCCGAGTCTGTCTCTGACGAACATGAAAATACAGATGATGTTGTCATGAAGATATTCAATGATTTGGGTACAAATGTCAATATAAATGATATTGATCGCTGTCACAGAACGGGTCCATTAAAGAGTAATGGTAAACCACGCGCTATACTTGTCAAGTTTGCGACCTACCGCGCTCGGCAGAAGATCTACACAATGCGTAAAGAACTCCGGTCAAAGGGTCACAATATGGTTTTCTTTAATGAAGATCTAACAAAGCAGCGCTCAGAATTGTTGTTTCATGCAAGAAGGCTAACTCAGGCTGGCTCAATTGACAGTGCTTGGTCTTCAGATGGAAATGTGCTTATCAAAGTCACAAGAAACGGTTCAACTAATATAAAACGCATCTCTTCTATAGACGAACTGAAACAGTATAAATCATATGCTGATGTTGTTAGTTTTAAATAAGTGAAAGACGCGCTATTTTAGTAGTGTAGTGTGACAATTTTTCATCGGATTTATAGAGCCGTTATATACCACGTTAAATCACGTGTCCAATACAAAGTGAAATAAACGGTTAATTATCACTGTAACAGTGTACCGTTAAATATTGTGCATGTAATCAATTCAAACTACCTTATCTACCTGCTGTTTAAGTTGAAACTTGATTATATTTTAAATGGTAATGAGTAAAGAACTAAAAGAATTAAAATTAGGAGAATAAAATAAGTTGATGATATTAATAGTCTTACTATGATCGCTTAAAATAATACACATGAATATGAAGTTTTCTGGCTGTTAGTCTAGAAAATTGAACGCGTGATGTGTATGACTGTATACTAGATAAGGCTATATTTTATCAATATAAATACAATTTAAAAAAAAAACAAACAAACAAACAAACAAACTTAGACTACTTAATATGGAACTTTTTGAATGTTTTTTATGATTATATTCCTTTCTTATTATTTTCCCCTTTAAATATCTTATCCAATTATAAGTAAACATGCTAGTATTTTAGTACTGTAACAATTCAAGCTGGGAATATCAATGTAAGGTCAGTTGGAGGTAGATGGATGAGTCTTGTAGGTGTGGATTGACCTTATCACTTGACAAAATCCATCTTGAACTTCATCTGTTTGTTTTTTTTGTTTTTTTTTTGTTTTTGTTCCCTTATTCTAAATTTTAGGTGATAAAATATAATAATCATAAAAACACATAGTATAAGTTGTTTATATTGTCCTCTGCTTTGGACATGAATTTATGTTTATGTTTATAAATAGTGTATAAATTATGTGTTTTGTATCTTAAATAATATTATTAGAAATGACTTTTAACATGTGGTTTTGTGTCCATCGATCATTTCTTGTTTTTTCGTTTTCGGACAAGACTGTTTTCTATATGGACAAACTTAAAATAAAAAGCACATATGTTTGCAATTTTGTAATATACACTTGTTATTTTGTATAATATCTTACTCTTGCTTTTTGTTGTCTTTTTTTTTGTTCTCAGTATACTTTTGAAATGTTAACTTATATACTTTTTACTGTTGTCATTAAAATATAAATAGCTTAAACATCTTAATAGTATTGAATACTATCAAACTATAATATTTCACTTTGACCTTTGTCAATATAATCTGAATAAACATATGTATTTCAGAACTATCATATACTTCCGAAGATACTTTTTACGTTTCACTGTTGTCATTTACATCTAAATAATCTAATAAGTATAATTCTTAAGTATTGAATACTGTCAAAATATAGTGCTTAATGTTTGACTGTTGTCATTAAAATCTAAATAAGCAAGCATAAGTAATTCAAAGGCATGGACTTCTGTTTGATTTTTTTTTAAAGTTTGTAGCTTGTCAGTAAAATCCAAGTAATCATATGAACTTAACGGTTGGCAAATATAAGCTAATTTACTTTATGTAAATGTTCATCGATAGCTGTTATCTTTTGTATATTAAACTTTTAGTTCAAGAACATTCTTGTTTAATTATCGTAAAAAACAAAGGTCTTTGAATAATATCATTATTTTTTTACGTAAGACTTTAGTTCATGGTGTAAATTGACTGTTATCTACAGTAATGTAGAATTTTTGTTGTCAAAAACGTACTTTTTTAAACTTGTAGATAAAGCAACAAATAGAACACAAACTTTACATTAAATAATTGATTTCATCGATAGCTATTAACTTTTGCATATAAAACTTTGATTTCAAAACGTTCTTGTTTAATGATTTTGATAAGCACAGGTCTTTGAATAATGTCGATTTATTTTCTCTACGTAAGACTTGTTGGTTCATGATGTAAAATGACTGTTGTCTACTTACATTTAGAAATTTTGGTGTTAAAAAACGAAAATGACTATAATTGTCTATAAATCTAAAATGTATGTTGACTTCACAAATGATTGTTGACTATATAATGTTATACGACTGTTGGCTATCAATTTAAAAATGATTATCGACTACATAATGTTATATGACTGTTGTCTTTTATATTAGAAATTAATTTATATATGAGTATTAATGAATAATTTAATTTTACTTAATTTTTCATTAAGTATAGATTAAGTATGAATAACTGCAATGAATAAAGCTCTTTAAAAGCTGACTTTTGTTAAAAAATATTCATATTTAAAGATACATATTTTTAATTTGATTTTTTAAAGAAAATATTTCATTGTACTAAGAATTAATTAAATATCAATTAAACAATAGCTTTCAAAGACTTTTCATGATCATAAAGCAAGAAAAAGTCACGAAATATAACCATATTCATCGATTGCAAGACTGATATGAATTTTTAAGATACTTTCAGGTATTTTATATAATAATTTTATAATTTCAAATTATAAATTGTTAAATTATATCATTAAGAAAAAAAATTTTAGTTTCAAGATATCGTTAAAATATCCTCCATATGCTGATAAACTTCTATCAGATATGTCTTTGTATAATTTTTTATGTACCATTTCGCTTCTTTTGTTTTTTGTAATAGCTTACTTATTCATATTCATTCATTTTCTAATTTTTTTACTGTTTGCTTGGCTGTTAATGCGAGAAATACGTTCATGTAAACACAATTATTATTTTTCTTTTAATCCGCCATGACTAAGGCCTGTAATAAATCTTTCAAACCTCTTCCAATTTATAACACTTCCTTCAAATTTTCGCTTTCCGTTCATTTTTTCTTCTTGGAACGGAATCCAAATCAATTGAAGCAAATGAGATTATATTTTCTGCAGTTCATAAATATATCAAACTAAGTAAGAGGTTCGAAACATGATTTATTAATACATCTTGTACTCATTATCACAGTCGTTTTTCTTTACCATTAAATTTGTATTCTCCAGAACCAGCCAAAGCAAGTCAGTTCTTAATGTGCTAGGATAACGTTATATTTACAACTAATTCCCCCAATTTATTATATATGTCTGAATATGTATGTATCCTTCAGGGTTTTTTTTTTTCTCTAACATATGTATATCTAATATATGTATATGAATTCATACACATTGTCTCAGTAGATTGATGCCATCACTTTGTTGTTAATTCAAAATAGAGTCGGAGAAGAACTATATAAGATTTTATATCTTTCGTTCTAATCCATTTCATCATTGTATATATTGAATTATTGTATATTATGAACTGTGTATGATTATGAATAAAATATGTTTAAACTAAAAAGGAACAAGTTGCATGCTTTTAATGTTGTCCTTTGACAGCTTATATGTGATAAGCAGGTTTCATAACCTCTGATCCTTCTTTTAAAAGTCTATCTTATTTAGTTTCGTCCATTGTTTTCTCGTTTATGTCAAGCGCATATTTTTACTTTGGGACAATATACCGTTTTTTTGGAATGGCACAAATAGAGGTTCAATGATTACCTAATATGAAGACATCTGCGGATGTTTCGAAATTCAAAATCGTGCAATTACCACTACCGGCTTAATCAAACAGAGCCTGACACGTTTTCAATTTTGACGTGTTGAGCTTTCTTTAGGAAATCTGTTTTGTTTGTTTTTTCTCTATTGAAAATTCATTTTTTACAATAAGTACGTTTAGCCATTGTTAACCCGTAATTTTACCTGTTCAGTATCAATTGGGAATATGTTCGGGAGTAGCTCGTATTTTACCAGTGCAATTGCCCGTTAGTCATGATGACAACAACTAGCCAAAGGCCGAAAAACAGAAAATAACTCAGAATATCTTACCCTGATGCACAATCATAATTCAATAATCAATAAGTATTTTAGCCTGAATTTCTTTTCTTTTTTATTTATTAAGAAAAACAAACATTTTTACAACTATAATAGTGGGTCCAAGTAAATTACATTTGTCTTTGGGCTATTCTGTTTGTTGTGATACCAACTTTTGAGTCCCTTATTGGTTTTAAAACAATAACCACAAAGCTGTTAGATGCGAGGCAATGAAAAAAATACATGTGTTGCTAATAAATTTTACAAACTTAAGGTAAGACTTTTGACGGTATGATATAGACACTTAAATTTAATGTTTGAAGTAAGGTTAATAAAGAAATGATATTTTGATATTTATCGCATTGATAACTTTTGATGAACATTGGGATACGAGTCCATCAAATTATTTTCTTTAAATATGTTTATTTTCTAACTTCGTTTTGACTCACGCTCATATGAAATAAAAGAACAAATATAAGTTAAAGAATAAATGGAATAAACCAACACAATTATGTCCTGTAAAATGTATTTACAAAAATTGAACTATTAACGCATTCAACTTTTAAATTCTTAAATATAGTAAAAGTTAACCAAAGGCAGCAAATACAGCGAAGTAGAAACTATACAAATGGAAATCACGTTCGAAAAAGTCTGTGTATAAACTCTACGGATAAAAGCTACGAATAACGTATGTTATAACTGCCTTCAAACAAGACATTTTTGACTGTATATGTAATTTATGTTGCTAAACATATAAATGTTAATCCTAATTATAGCAAGGTTAAAATAAAAGTTTTTACTTACAGTTCCACCAAGGAGGGTAGATTGTTGAATGCATTGGAGGTTATTCTGGTCAGGTTGTTGTAAGATAAATTTCTATAAAAATAATTTTGTTTTAATTATCGTACAATGTACATAATAAGAGCAGCGCATAACAATAACTTATTATGTACATAAAAAAGAGAGCAAAGCAATTGTTAAAACGCACTGGTGTTGTGTGACTATATTCACCATCATATCTTCAAGTTAAGGTAATCGGAGCATGCCAGTTGTCCGGAATTATGAAATAATGGATAAGTAATAATAGGTATAAAAATGAATAAGGGTAAATAAAAAAAAATTGCAAATACTAATTAATGTATAATGTTGCACTGATGTAGAGCACTGACGTGATTGATAAAAGTAACACCACGTTACACATGAACACTACTTATTTGCAGGTTAGAGCAGGTTAAGATTAAATCCATTCGGATATGCTGGCAAATTGCTACTTCAACAGCTATATATATACGAATCTCGAAAATGTCAAATTTGTTTTGAATGATCCTATATTTTAATCATTTGCATTAATTTTTGATTTAAGGACCGGTACGACTATTAAGTGTTCAAATGAAATGGATGTAGTCTCTAACATTCTTACATCAACTTACATCGAAGTAACTTTCAGCATATTCTGAAATGAATTATCTTCCAAGTCAGTGATTGTGTTGTTTGCAAAATTTCTGAAAAGACAAAACAATGTGTCCATAAGCTATGTTTCAATTATAAGTCATTGTTGACTCTGAAATATGTGTTTTGCAATTTATTTGATATATGTAAAAGAGGTATCTTTTAACTAATTGAGAAGAGATCTTAAACATGAAATTGTATGATTGGCTTATTCGTGTTTGAGTAATGCCTGAAACGATTAAAAAGTCATTGAAGGTATGAATACTTATTAGTGAAATTATCTTTCGTTTCTAAATTAGTTAACGACTGCTTATTACGTATACGTTTGATTACACTCGTGTTTCTTTTAAAGCAAATCGAATTTGCGTTGAAAATCAAGAAATATTTCTATTACATAGTATTGTTTTCCGATAGAATTTGTTATACGTCAGAAAAATAGGTACCCCTATGATTTAAAGCTGTATCTAGACGAATGATTTTACTAAACGTTTAGAATTTCTGATTCGAAACAATAAAGGTTTAATTTTACCACCCTTTAGTTGAGAAAGATAACTTACATGATATGGACATTTGTCATGTTTGTCAAGACTCTACTTGGAATTCTCTTAAAATCACATTTGTTTACAATTCTAGAAAGATAAATGGTGACAAAAGAGAAAAAAGTACATGATTTAAACTTGTGCATGATTATTAGGCACGTCAAATTACATGTATTTATGATTGCTGGTGGAATAAAAAGTTTAATTGAAATATTCATCAAAATGAATTCATTCTTTCATTTACATAATTATTGTGATATTCCGATTACATGTAAAAAACTCAAAACCAATATGTAAAAGGCTTTCAAAAGCATTATCACAAGCATATTATTATTAAAATTATTATTATTATTATTATTATTATTTAACACTATGACACTCTTTATCATTCTCATTAAAAGTGGCGTTCTCCATTTTAACCAGATATGCAGGTAAGAATTTGCAATCGTTTCATTTATCACGTATGTGACACATGTTTGTGTCTTTTATGTAAATATAAAAACATATTTGAAATATAAATGTTGTTTTCATATAATTTGATATATTAAATATATCTCTAGTGAGTAAAGCGAAACACATATAACATTAAAATTGTTCAAAAATATTTGAAAAAACAACGTTTTTTACTTACAATACACTAGTAGTTTTTCTTACTCTTTCCGGCAATGATGATACCAGGGCCATTAAAGTAATGTTACTTTCTTGAACTGACCTAGAAAATTGAGGGAAATGTTTGCTGTTCAGTCATTGACAAAGCTTGGGTATATTAAGAATTGTACACTATGAAGTTGCTATACATGGAATTGGATTTTCAAGTGCTTTATAATGTGTTAACAATTATGTTTATTAAAAAATATAAGCAGCATAACACTATTAAGTCATCACACGGAATCACAAGGAATGATTTAAAAAAGTTAAAATGATTTCTAAAAAGTTAAAATAATTTTATATGAGAAAAAAGCACAAAATCTAATACAATTTATACATTTTCAAAAGTACATACACTCTGAAGATTAGGGGTTCCCTATCCACACAACTGTCTAAAAGTTCAAGGTCTTTGTCGTAAGCGTCATGCACGTCACTGAAATTTATATTTCTTTGAATGCTTTAGGAACTTAGCAGTAAATTAATCAAATCATTTGCCTGTTTTGGTTTGTAATGAACTATGTACTTCAATTCCATTCAGTAAAATAACATACAATTTAATAAATGTATCCAATACAAAGCAGATATACTTGAAATTTAATAACTGTCCGAAAGAGGTGCTGCAAATCATGTTTTGATATATACAGCTAAATTAAAGATTTTATACTTTTACATAAGCTTTGACTAATTTAAATGATTCAAAAATGAAACACAGAAGTCATGTTGTGGACCTACATAAACTTTGTTTTCAAATTTTAAATACGCTGAAAGTGCCTTGCTTTAATTTACACTGACATATTTCAGAAATAAACAGAAACTGTCAGAAACTAGAAAAAAGTGAAAGGGATACCGTTTATTACTTCCTTATCTAAAGCATATCTTATTATATTGTTCATTTTTAAGCCTGTTTATTTTTGTAGTAGATTAACATACTTTCTAGTTTATAACGAAATCACATTTTTCAGTTAATTTTTTAAAGAAGCCTATGTTTTATGTATAAAAAAATAAATATTAATATATCTTGAATAACTAAGAATTAGTCTTATTGAGGGATGCTGTGATGGCGGCGCTAGTGAAATCATTTGTATAAACGACAAATTAAATCTTAAGCGGTTAGGGGGCAAAATCCATCTTTATCTTAATTTATAATTTTAGTTATTTAACAAAGCACTGTATGTTTTTCACCAAAATAACTTAACTAATTAATAGAAGAATATTTCTGTGCCAACACATTGGTGAGAATTAAATCTATTTCCCCATAAAACTATTTTAAAGTAATTAACTTTCATTACAACGTCATAAACTTGAAAACTTTATTGTTGTTGTTGATGTTGTTAACACTCACTCTTGCTGATTTGCTCTGAACTAAGTTTTTTATAGTTATTGTGTGTGCTCTGTAAGACAATGATTGTTTTTACACTGGTACGATTGAATTGATGAGGATTATTTTGTAATATGTTTCCACATCAGGTAAACACTACTAATATGTTATTGATTATGTAGGTACTCAGGTGCCCTTATGTCTTATAACATTATTTAAATCTTAAATTAAATGTTAATGTTCATTAAATCAGTTACAATTTGTTTTAGAACATATGTGTCTACCAACTGTGCCGTAAAGAAACCATCTGTTTGAAAAGTAAAAGATATGACTTCCAAGGCCTACACACGATGATTTTATAAAAGAAATTAATTAGTTCAAGGTTAACCATTATGTTGATAAAATAAAAAGGTACAAATAAGAAAAATGAATAAGCGATCGATTTAATATTGGTCAATTAAAATGCATCAGTCACAAAGATACAGATTGGGTTATGACCACAAACAAGTTCTTACGCAAACTAACATGTATGTATAAATAGTTTATTTGTGTTTTTCTACAAAAACAGGTGTCTCATATTCGTTATAAATCAAAATTTCCTTTCTCCATATACCGTACTTCAGGTAAATCCACTAAGATGAAACCATTTTCTCATCCAATTTCCATTTTGTAGTGAAAAGATCATGAAGATTAGGTTATTGCTTTGAAATGAAACAGTTGAAAAACATTACACTTAAGACACATTTTGAACCTATTTTATTTTGATTTACTCTAGGAATAACTTACATAAATATTCCAACCGATATTTTCATTTAATTTATAGAATATACCATCGTAACAGAAAATAAAGTGTAGCTTTTAGCATTTTTAAGAAATAATGTCAGGTTTTACAAAATATATTTTGGATGTTGCACTCTTAACACGTTTTATATAAAAGTATCGACAAATCATTTATAATTATTCTATTAAGAAATGGTTTTTAAATAGTTAACAGTAGATGTCCGGTGTTTTTTTTTTTAATTTTTAAGCAATATGATTTTATATCGTACGTTAGTTTACAAAAGAATGTATATTTTAATAACCTAAATGGCACAGTAATACATGCCAAACGAAAAACTAAAAAAACTGTTTTTCTTATTTAAAAATGATAAATCCAATTATTTACATGACGACGTATTTATCCTAGCATGTCATATTTAGGATGTTACAAATACACGCAGTATTAATAGACTAGAATTGAAATTTTAAGCATTTTTTTTATCTATTTCATGAACAGACATAAACATAAATATCGTTTCTCTTTCACTATCCTTCGAGGGCAAAATTGTACAATCTCAATTAGCACGCTCCTATTAATTTTAAAAAAAAAAACGTTTTTATAAAAAGGTTTCATTTCAAATTACACATGGTTTAAATACCGCAGGCGAATAACTTCATAATTATGGTTTACAATGATGCTGTATTACTTCTTTTACTAATTTTGCATCAATTTTAATTACTTCAAACAGCAACCTTTAATGAATGCTTAAATCTTATTCTAACGTAACATCTTACTTAAAGTGGTATGTTATTTTTATATATATTTCAGTGATTTGTTTGTTTGTTTGTTTTGTTTTTTAAATCTGTAGGAAAAATGGATTAGTAATAATTATGTAAGTTTGTCGAGCATTATCAAAGAATACTTAAAGTTATTTCTTTGTTCCAATTTACTTCAATTCCAGAATAAAAATGAAATATTTTATACATGTCAAAGTAAATTAATTAATAAATACTACTCTGGATATTTATCAGAAACGGGCACAATTAGGCTAATTCAATACTTACATCTGGTAATTACTGATATCTCCGGGAAAATCTTTACAATTTTTCAAAATAGCGAAACTATTATCAATTGATAATAATAAAAGAAATCTAATGGTAATCCATAATTTATCCATAGTTCTTTTCACTTCCAATCATCTGCAGATATACCAGATAAATACGACGTTGGTTTGATGACAAGAAATATATACTGTAATGCCTGCAAATGTAAGCAATTTCTGTTCACCGATATCTGCGAATTGATTTCAAAACAACGATATAGAATGCTCATATAATGTAAGATATGCGCACAGAAAACAAATATTCACACTCAAAACGTAAACCATATGTAAATACCACAAAAGTGCTAATAACTACACACATACAGTATTCTGGCTGATTTGATTCACTGATTTTATGTAAGTATGATTAAATATTAGATCAATTCAATAAAATGATATTATATAATTGCATGTCTACTTTTTCTTAACTTCACGGAAATTGTATATTAACATTAAAAGCATTGCTTCGTTAGTTATTTTACCACATCCGTAAATATAATTGAGACCAGTTTTAACAAGGATTTTAATGTGTTCTATAATTTGAGCTTTACGAGGCATAGCCAATAAACCAAATGTATTTATCGACTTTACTGCATCTTTTAAAATGATAATAGAAGTACGTCTGTACCTTGAATGTTGTTTTGTCTATACTTTAAAAAGACAAACATGTACAAGTATATATGTAAATTAATCCACCTATAAAACATCCAAAACCCAGCAAAAGGAAATCTATCTGTTTAAGAGAAATATAAACAATATCAATAACAAAATATAATGATACATTCTATATAATTAGTTGTTGTTTTTTTCCCTGATGCCTGACTCTGTTTTAAGTCAATAAGCAATTGGTCTGGTTTAAATTATGCAGACGAATTATGTATCATAAGTGCAATCATACTTTCTTAGTGAACAAAGATCCTTATTTTGTTCATATTCTTCCCTAAAACATTTTACGAATTAAACAATTTTAACTTTTAAGTTTTAATCAATATACATTTTATCTGCATTTGAGAGCGTTTGAAATAGATTACGTGGTTCATAAGTCTTTAAGACTCGATATAAGTAAGTACTTTTATCGTTTATTATTATGACATGTGTATATACAGTGAGGATAAACAATGAAAAAAGAAAAAGAAAACAGAAAGTCCAATGGATCTAGAAATCGCCAAATAGAAATTATACGTGAATAATCTTACATATGAAATGGACAATAATAATTTCTGGTTTCAGTTATTTTGATAATTTCAAATGATAACTTGAAAATTTGATATTGTTTAATGAATTAACGAAGAAAAACAAACTAATTTATACAGAAACAGAATGAAATGCAATGCATATGAAATATAATCCTATAATAATATGCCACTCTTATACAAAATATGTTTGGCCTACAAGTAGTATTTTCATTTGAAGCGTTTTCTACATAAACGAATGTAAATGCTTATATAATGTAGGTAATCAAAAATTAATATCATTTGTTAAAAAATAATTAAGCTCTTTATTTCTTTAATTAGTTGTTGTTGATGCCTGACGCTGTTTAAAAAGTTTAAAAAAGCTATGTATCATCTCTGTCATTACATTCTGCTATTTGACACTTTTGTTGTACAGAAATACTATCAAACGTCACAACGCAACTTCAACGTTAGCGTTTTCAATGGCAATAAAATTCATAAACAATGTCTGAACCTTGTTACAAATTGTTAAAATTTGAGAAACAGTTCAGAATACAAGAAACTCGAGTTCGTGACTGTTTGTAATATTAATTAAACTAGGTCCCAGGGATCTAAATATCATTTAAAAATTGACATTATTATTCGTAGAGGAGAAAATTGTCAACTTCAGTTAGTTAAATGACATCGTAAGCCGATATGTAAGAGACTCTTTTCTCATCCAATCTTGTTTCCGTTCAAAAAATGCACCAAAATATATGAAATAGTGCAAGTTTTGGCAGCAACATGAATAATCAAGTAAATCTGTATAAAACATTGTTTTAAGATAAATAAATGAGAGTCAAAATATGATAAAGTAACAGTTTTAACATCTTGTTGATGTTGCATTTGTTTGTTTTTTATGTATGTTTGTTTGTTCGTTTACCTGTTTTTGCGCCGATATTAACAGATTCTTGGTCATATTTAGCCAGTCAGTCCCCTTATTCGACTTTCCTAGAAATGAACCAGTGATTGTCATTTTTCCGCAAGTGATTATCAATAGTCCAATACGATTTCTTATTCAGTGGTAAATGACCGATAAATTCAATGTCTGGGTTCAATTAAAATGTCGTGGAATAACTCTTCCTTATCCTAAGATCAAACCAGTGACCTTTCGACCACAAATCCGATGGTCTCTCTATTTAACAATGAGGGGACACACTGCTGATATCTATAAATGCTGAATTGTCATTCTTTGCCACTCTGTTTGTGAAGATAAATTAGTCTATGTCAGATTTTTGTCCAAACAGTAGGCTTGTGCATTTAAAACAAATAGGCTTTAAAGAGACTTGCAAAGTTGTATTTTAAATGATTAACTGTAACTGAAACGTTACTTAATGCTACAATTTTAGAATGTACGCGAAACGGTTATCCATTGGATATGAAAGTTATTTTCAGCTATAGAAAAAGCACCGAATCTTGAGTGTTTTGACGTTCTTTCTCTTTTGTATCAGAGGCAAAAATAAAACATGCTCCCTGTCGTCACAATATGAAACCTAAGAAAAAAGTTAAGAACCAATATATCTGAAAAGATTTTTCTATTGGTATCCTTTTACCTGTCGTCCAGAAATATATGAGCCAATCATAATAAATTTATGACAGTAAGACCTGCTCTCAAGTTAACGCACTGTGCTTGTAAAGGTATATTTTAAACACATTTATCGATAGAAATGTCATCAAACTAAGATAAAATTGGTATATGTTAAACAGCTAACTAATTTGTCACTGAAAGTTTATTTTTGTTTGACCGTACATTAAACGGTGAACCTTTTGGCCGGCTTTAATGCAGTTGAAACAGTGGACTAAATTTGAAACATTCAGCAATTTTAATGTTTGGCCGTATGCAAAACGATGAATCTGTTGGTTGAAATTTGATTGGTCAATAAAATAATAATAATAATTGACTGTTTGTGAAACTGTGAAATTATTGGTCTTTACAAATGTACGTTATATCCGAAACTTAAACTTTCAGACCGAGCACAACTATAGACTCTAAATATCGCTCTGATCTTTAAATGATTGTGCCTATGGACATAAGGGTTTTAAGATTCTCTAATATTTTTTAGTTTTTTAATTCGAGAGTTCTAGAGTTTAATTTTATCACAGAACTTTTTCGAAGCTAATTGGTGTGTCGTTTGGTGTATGGCACATGTTGTTGTTGTTGTTGATGATGATGATGATGATGATGATGGTGATGATTTTTTACAAATTCAGCTTCAACTGGTGCAAGCAAACATAAAATATCTTGTTGCATTCACTGTCTATTTTCACTTTGTATACTTGACTCCAGTAAAAAAAACAAAGTTTGCAATCTTCACTGTATTTGCTCTATATAATAGTTTTTCCAGAATAATTTCATATAAAAAAATGGCGTCTATGTTACTCACGTTGTATGCGAAGGGAACGATCGTCCGAGCAAATACAATATTCCTAGAATTTATTAAGTTTATTCATTTATTTTGTAAAATTGCGTCGAATTAATGTACCATAAAATTGAATATTGCTAAGGTGAGTGTAATAGCTTTGAATTCGTTAGTTTCAAATTGGCAATCGTCTCATTTACAAATCAGAGATAGTTCTTCAATTGAAATGGTTATTTGATCTAATAAATATTTATAATTGCTACATTAATTTACAAGTTTGAGTGTATACTCTTGCGTTTTATTTATTCATTAACGTTAACGTGTTGAGTACCTGTAAGAGGCGATTGAATGAATTACGGATCAGCAGTTTATTTTAAATCCTAAACAGACGAAGTAAAACAATAATGGGGGGGGGAGAGTAAGTGGTATCATCTTTTAATATTATTATAACAGTGTGCGTTGCTTGCAAAGCAGAACACTTTTGATTTTTTGTTTGTTCGGTATTTGTGAAATGCATATATTTCAGTTATAACATCGCTGTTGCCTGTTGTTCTTTGTTCTCGTTCTTTTTCTGTGTGGGATTTTGATTGTAACGTGTTCAGTTATTTGCCGAAAAGCCTTGGAAAATGTGTAATGTTCTCTACTACAGAAGTAAATGTGGCGACAGATGACTAACGGCAGAAAATCACACCACTTAATGAATAAAAACCTTCTAAATAGAATAAACAACACTGTAAAAGTAAGCAGTGTGATCAAGTATTTTTGAATAAATATTTTTAAGTTGAATGCAATACAAACTTTGTAATGGAACCATTTACTTAATTGTGTTATCCTTGAACATTACACCACAGCATAGCGTAATGTCACAGTGACCTTGGGATGACTGCATTACATTTTGATTTTATCTAATTTAGAAATCATCATATCAATGATTTCCCTCATTTGACTTTAGAAGAACAAGAAACCAATTATGAAAGTAACATCAAAGAAATGCCAACTCATCAAGGTATGTAGACATGCCTTGTTTAAACACATACAGTTTTAAATATATAGAGAGAGGCATTCAGGTAAAGGAAATGTATCTTTGCTCGATTGCTGAAATGCCTGAAATTAAATATTCACAGTTTTGTTGTAATTGTACTGTTAATCAAAATTATCTTTACTTCTTTTGCTGACTGCACATCCATCAATTAGCGTAATTTGAACTTTTTATATTGACAAAAAGTGACGTATCTTCTTCTCTTAGTTTACTAGTATACTTATCTTGTGCATAACACATTAATTTTTTCTTCCGTTTTCAACGCTGAAAAGCGCTTAAATAAAGGATATGATTTACGCATAAGCTTGCGATGTAAACTCATACTTGCTTTTAAGGTGCATTAGATATTAAATTCAACTGGATCTTCATTAATCTTTTTAATTGGTTATGGAAATATGATTTTAGCTTATCTACTTATTTATTATTATTGTAATTTTAACAATAGAGTTCGAAAGTTCATTACTCTGATAAAAATAGATACATGTAAATACATCAAATGAGAATGATTACATTGTTTAATAATCAACTGCAATGAAATTCTGAAGAAAGGGTGATTGCTCGGAAGCATTAATCACAAAAAAACATGAAAATTGCAGCCTCGTTGATTTGAATTTGTTCATTAGGGATAATGAAACAGTGCAAAATCCCTCAGCCCCCCCCCCCCCCCCACCATCGACTTCAATTTTCAACACTTAAAAGTGCAGTATTGTTTATCACTTGTTAAT